CCATTTGCACTTGCTTGGTAATCCAACAGCTTCCTCAGGGATCTCACCTCGGAAGGGTCGCGACATAGAATTTGGTTTTTTTCTCATGAAATTACAAGTGACAAAGAGAAACGATAAAAGAAGGAAAGAACGATTTAGTTGAATCAAACCGCAAAAAAAATGGTTTGGCTTGGTTTGATCTTGACTATTAGACAGCGTAGTTTGGTTTTGCTTTTCTTCAAACCCTATTTATTGTTGAAAATAAAATAAGTGATCAAATAAAATACACAAAATAAGAAAATGAATCATATATCAAATTTACATGGTTCGATCGTATGACCTACGCCCACGGGAAAAGAAGCACACAATTCCATTATAGATGAAATTATAATGCAATGGAGATTACAACCATACTTGAGTTACTCAAATACTTTTAGTGTTTTTAATCCCTCAAATACAACTAATAATTCTATGTTTAATCCTCGCAATTCTCTTGAAATAATCTTCCTATCTCATAAAAGAATAACATGAACATTAACACAAGATTTAATCGGCTTCATTTTGTGTAATTTCACGGAGAAAACCTTTGAGCCAAATCCTTAAGAGGAAATTGTCAATCTCCTCTGCGCAGTACTCGGGGCTCTCGTCAAGAGCTCTTCCTCTTCGTATTTAAAGAGAAAATTCACTAGAAGCAAATAAAAAGAGGAAAACAAGCAATGAGTGGCTCGTTAAAGGACACCATTATTGCAACTTTCATCGTCTTTTTCCTTCCCGTTTTGTCTCATATCAGCCGGGGCCATCATCGATCTCTCTTTTCCCTTTCTTCAGCTGAGCAAAGTCGTCTCTTATGGTCAAGACCAGGACGGTCTCTCTTTCTTTCCACGCTCAAAGCAACACCATGATGGGATGGCATCACGGCCATGGACAGGCCATCATTGAATTGGCAATGAATATCAACACAATCTCATACAAGAAAGACATGAATATTAACACAAGATTTAATCCGCTTCATGTTATGTAATTTCAGGAAGAAAACCTTTCTGAATCAACCCTTGAGAGGAAATTTTCAATCTCCACTGTGCAGTCCTGGGAGCTCTCATCTCTTCGAATTTAAAGAGAATTGACTAGAAGCAAATAAAGAAGAAGAAAGGAAACAACGAGTGGCCATCGTTAAAAGACACCATTATTGCAACTTTCTTTGTCGTTTTCCTCCCTTTTGTCCCATCATCAATCTCTTTTTTCCCTTTCTTCAGCTGAGCAAAGCTGTCTCTTATGGTCGAGACCATCATGGCCTCCCTTTCTTTCCATGCTCAAAGCAACGGCATGATGGGATGGCGTCATTGCCATGGACAGGCCGTCATTGCCATTTCCTCTCACCGCTCGTCCATAATTCTCGTCCGGTCTGATTTGATCGGGCTCCGGCTGAAGATATATCTCCACATTTATATAATTTGGTTTGGCAGATGGCACTAACCACCTCATGCTCACATTCAAACAATTCTCGATAAAAAATGAGTGCTGTATAAAGGCGTGTTTATGACAATATTTGAGTGGTTAAAGATAATTAATTATAAGGTGAAGAAAACAAAACAAATGTTTCATAATGAGTAGTAAGTATATGCTTAGGTAGTACTTAGGTGGAGCATTTTTTTCGTAGTTAGTGAATGCAACAAATCCAATCTCAATAATACGAAGGAAAATCTTCTAATTATACATAGCTCCATGTGTCATAATGAGAGGGATTCTTTAGGAATATTTTTTATCATGCATTTATATAGATAGATTGTGATTTTATCTAAATAAATATGTTTAGACATAGATATAGCTATAGAATAATTATAAATGATTTAAACGTTTCAAAATCAGATTTTTATTTAATTCAAAAGTTCAAAGGCACCAAGAAGAAACTCGAAAGAAATTGGACATGTGAAATGGTACACCTCCATAATTGTCCTCCATCTCATTTGTCTAAAGCCATCAACTTTATTGACTATAAATTGAAAGCTGCAGTTGTTGTGAAGTTACTTGTCCGTAACTTTCAATTAAATCCCGTGAGTCACGCAATGCAAACATCCAAACTAATGTCTCTCACTGACGAAAGTGGCGTTGGGCTTCGAGCATTAAAATCAAGAATTTCATCATGTTATATAATAAACATCCTTTTCTCCTTTTCTAATGTAACGCGCTTTTTCTTCTTTTGTAAATTTCTGAAGGAGGATGACGTGGTGTAGAAGCTTTTCACGTTAGGAATGTAGTAAAAGCTCTTCCCATTGAGGAATGTAATGTTACTATTACTAAAATGCCCAATCCAAAAGAACGGCTGAAATTTGACAAACAATGAGCTGCACACTCAAAATAACGCACTTAAACTTTCCACATGCCTAAAACCTTTCGGATTTATTAAAGTTGTATGTAGCATGCGTGATTAATTAAAAGGTAAAAACATAATTTAGATTAATGACATTTTGGTATCTTTTGGGGATCTTGTAATATGGTCTCGCATGATCTTCTAATTTACTTAAAAAGTAAGCATTAACACTTTTTATGTATTCCAATCATTTGAGGCAATGGCTTGAAAGCATAGGATGTACATGCTCATACCGTTTCCATAAGGTATTGCTAAGTTGTATAAAGTAGTGCATCGAAGATGACCATACTTATGATATCCGATTGCTATATCTTTGGAAGGATTGTTGTTTTATACATAATTTGTGTAAAGTTGGGTTCGTATAAACCATCATCAATGCATTATGTGTATTTTGAATGCTATTCTTGAAACAACATTTTGTTCAAATTTGATCACGATGTCCTTTACTCATTACATTGAAGTGTCCCGTTAGCCATCCTTGAATGGAGCTAACCTAATGCATGTGGATGAAGCGATTTGCATGTAAAAATCGGTGTTAATTCAGTCCAATGATTTGAATACTAGTGTTATAAATGAGATAAAATAAATGTGGACAAGTCATCCCCTCAAAGTCTTCGTACGGTACGCCAATTTAGTCAACAAGTCAAAGCAACTAATAATAATAATAATAATTAAAAGCAACTAATAACGCCACCAAAAAGATATATAAATAAAACAAGCCAAAAAATAAATAATTGCGGCTAGGCTCTATCTGATCTTCATTACTTCTACTCCAGCGGTTCAAATTCCGAAGGATAATATTCATAATGATTTTCAATTTCTCATGATATATTTATTAAGAGATGAAATATTATAGATCGTGCTAACCAAAGAGGTGTATCGCTAACAAATGTCGTGACAATCTATGCCAAATCATGCAAAACAGACTTATTTAATATGTCAAGATTGTAGTTACAAATTTACGATTTTCTTGATATGTTGCGTCCAAAACTAATTAAATAAAATATATGCGACCATAAAATCATGGAAAATGAAGGAAGCAAAGGGAAAGGTACACACGGGCTGGCGCTATTCAATGGAGAAAATGGCAATAAAAGAACGTCGCTATGCATTGTCAGAGGGACCTTAGAAGAAACGGGTCGTGTAGACCGCATTGAATCTCGTCCTTATGGTCGGAGTTTAAGTTAAGCGGGTTATGGGACAAATTCTATCATCGACCACGAGTTTAAGCTTATAAACATCGATCGATATCTAAAGAAAATAAAAGATACTTTTTCATGCATTTATTCATGAATGCCTAATGCTATTGAATATCTTTTAGTCCGGTGTCACTTTCCTTCAAACCATATTCCTTTTGGAATAAAAAAAAGCAATCAAATAAATTGCACAAAACAAGAAAATGAAACGAATACTAAATTTACATGATTCAGTCGTGTGATCTACGTCTACGAGAAGAGTAGTATAAAATTCCATTATAGATCAAAAGATGTAATGAAAGTTATAATCACACTCGAGTCATTTAAATATTCTCCGTGTTTTTTAGGTTCTAATTATATTTAATAATGTTTAACGTTTAAAATTTCTCACGCGTAACGAAATGACACAAATCTTAACAATATAATCGGCTTCGGAACAGAAATATTTGGTGTGATCAAGAGGAACTCTTGGCACGCTTTTCAATATGCTCTGTGCAGCCTTCAGAGCTCTCCTGGTATTTAAAGAGCAAATTCAGCAGAACCAAATAAAGAAGAAGAAAGGAAACGACTGAGTGGCCAACATGGAAAGACACCATCCTTGCAACTTTCTTCGTCTTCTTCCCTTTCGGCCCACATCGGCAATGGCCATCATCATTAATCTCGTTTCCCTTTCTTCAGCTGAGCAAAGCCGTCTCTTATGGTCAATACCATCATGGTTTCCCTTTCTTCCTTTCGTGCTAAGAGCGACACCACGATGGAGTGGCATCATGGCCATTGACAGGCCATCCCTGCATTTCCTCTCACCAATTTTGAACAGTGGTTGAGCGTCCATAATTCCATCCGGTCCTATTTCATCCAACGAGCTCAAATTCGAAATATATTCTAACATATTTGGTTTAACGTCCAAACCACTCTAACTACACTATGCTCTCATTCTAATTGTTCGTCGGTAGGAAATAAATGATCATTTGCTTTTTAATATAATGACACGTTTTATGAGAATATTTGAGTTGTTAAGGGAAATTACTTGTAATTAATTAAAGGTAAGTCTTTAAGGCGAACAGATCAAAACAAATATTTCATAGTAAGTAGTAGTACGTATATGCTTAGGTAATGCTTAGGTGGAGCATTTGTTGTAGAGAATGCAGCAAATCCAATCTTTGTAGTATGAACGAGATTTTTCTAATTATCCGGAGTCCTAAGTGTTAGAATGACAAGCGATTCTTTAGGAATATTTCGTTACTCTATATAAATAAATTGTTATTTTACAATACTAGATTGGGATTTTAAATATGCCCAACTATAGATATAGAGAATCAAATATTTTTAATCCAAAAGTTTAAAAGCACAAAGTGAACAGCACAAAGGAGAAACTCGAAAGAAATTGAGCGTGTAAAAAGGCGTACCTCCACAATTGTCCTCCACCTTATTTTTCTTTTCTAAAGCCATCAACTTTATTGACTATAAACTAAAAACTGCACTTGCTACGAAGTTGCCTATACGCGTTTTGGATGGCAAATGAGATGGGATTCAAATATGTGAAATGTCATATGGCGAACTCAGAGACCAGGTGAGAGGGCTGACCTTGCCAAGTGCGAAGTGAGCTCCTATGGCGAACTTAGAGACGGGAACGAGCACTAGCAATACATCAGGAGGTGAGTACCAGGTCTTCTTGAGTTTTACAGGGCCTGATACTTGTCGTACATTCACCGATAGCCTCCACCAAGCCTTGGTAGATGCCGGGATTAGTGTTTTCACCTATGACGAAGGGCTTCGATCAAGTGACAGAATTAGTGGCAACCTTCTACAAGCGATCGACAATTCCAAGCTCTACATACTCATCTTCTCCAAAAATTACGCTTCAAGTGACCGGTGCCTCAACGAGCTTGCGGAGATGGTGGAGAATGCCTCTAAATATAAAGAAGATAGGAAAGAGCAGGTCATACTACCCATCTTCTACGACGTGAAACCCGCTGACGTGAAGTTGAAAACCTCGTTGTACAAAGAAGCCATATCGAATTTCAACTCCAAGGATATAGAGAGATGGCAGAAAGCTCTCAAAGAAGTTTGTGGCTACAAGGGATGGGAGCTGGAGAAATATTCATGGTAACAATCTAACCATGATTGTGAAAATTATTTTGTACAATCGGGCCATTTTATATTTAAGTAAATCTTCTATTACGGTAAATCGTTGGATGTTTATATTTTGATACTTCAACTATTTTTTGCCAGAAATTCTGATTCTTCTACTTGATATAAAGATCAAACGTTTCTCTTCTATATCCTAAACTTGATCGCGTTCCCACCTGGTTGGTTAGTAGATGGTTGGTCAACATGCAAATTTCTCACCTTTTCTCAATTGAAAATGTTCAACTTTGTGGCAGCTATGCGGAACTTATCCAGGCGGTTGTTCAAGAGGTTATGGCCAGGCTCGAGACAAGACAGAGACGTGTAACCAGAGATTTAGTTGGAATGGAGGATCGAATAGCAACCATAAACAATTTATTAGACATCGACTCTGATGGTGTGCGGCTAATTGGAATCTACGGGATGGGCGGCAGCGGTAAAACAACACTTGCCAAGATTATCTTCAACCAACTATGTCCTCGCTTTGGGAAAAATTGCAGCTTTCTTGACGACGTGAGGGAAACAGCAAACACCAATCGTTTAGAGAAGTTGCAAAAAAAATTATTGTTCGATGTCACTGGAAAGGAAACTTACATTACAAACGTTGATCAAGGGACCAATAGGATTGAAGATACAATTTGCAACAAGAAGGTGCTAATTGTATTGGATGATGTTGATGAGGCCTACCAGATCCAAAAACTAATTGGAGAGAAAATTTTCTATCCTGGTACTAGAATACTTGTTACCACTAGGGACAAGAGTGTTCTGAATATCGGGGGATTTAAGTATGAATTCAAGGATTATGAAATGATGGGGTTAAGCAGCAAAGATGCACTTAAACTTTTTAGTAGGCATGCCTTCAACGAGGACTCTCCTCCAGATGACTACTGCACTCTTTCAAAGGGCATTGTCTATACTACAAATGGACTACCTTTAGCTCTTCAAGCAACAGGTTCATCCCTCTTTTATAAGAAAAACAAAGAAATATGGAAAGAGTGGCTAGAGAAGCTAAAGAAAACACCTCATAAGGATGTCTTGGCAAAGCTAAGGATTAGCTATGATGCCTTAGAGGGGTATGAAAAACAAATATTCCTCGATATTGCATGCTTTTTCATTGGTGAGAATAAGACTAATCCAATGTACATGTGGAAAGATTGTATGTTTTACCCAGTGGGTGCCATCGAGGTCCTTATTAACAGATGCATGATAAAGGAGTTAGACGATAATAGCCTTTGGATGCACGATCAGTTTAGAGATCTTGGAAGGAAAATTGCCAAAGATGAAGGAACCCGATTGTGGGATAAAGATGACATCATTCACAAATTAAAATCAACAGAGGTAAAGTATGGCCAAATTTGAATTGAAATTTACTTATAACCTCTTCTTAATTGATGTTTCACGTTTTTGAATTGGGAGCTACACTTCTACTACATTTTTTCTTTTCTTCTACGAAATAAAATAGTGGGATATTGACAAATTCCTCTTTCTGCTCCTTAATGTCATTGGCAGACCAAGGGAAGCGTTGAAGCACTTCGTATGAAACCAAGGGGTTCGTCGAAAGATCCTATAATTGTCACTTCGGAGCAAATTAAGCGATTCCCGGATATAAGGTTTCTTTCGTTGTGTGAGGTAAACTGCCAAGGTGACTTTATGGGCTGTCTTTCGAAGTTGAAATGGATCAGTTTGGAGAACAAATATTCTATTCCTCCTGGACATGCCGCTGGCCATTGTCAACGGCTTGAGGCAACTAATTCGTGGCATCTAGAAAACGTGGTTGTGTTGAATCTTTCTGGGGTTGATATCACAGAAGATGTGTTCCAGAGCCTAATCAAGGTATGCTAGTTTCACCCTTAGTCTAATTTTCTCATTCACTGAAGGTAAAAATCTGATGGATTTATGATCTAATTTTCTCATTGGTAGCCTAAATCCATATTTATTTCTTGTCTATCCTGAGGTTTCATTGGCTTTTGTAGGAGGCAAGGAAATTGAAGGTTCTCACTCTTTGTTATAATACGCTGATACATGGGAAACCAACTTTTCCCCGGAACTCAAGTTTAGAGAAGTTGACGATTTCCAATTTTCTTTCCTTGAAGGAAATTGATCGCTCTATTGGGAAACTGACGAAGCTAACTGACTTGAGTTTTGAGTTATGTGTCGAAATTGAAAAATTGCCTGAACAAATTGGAGAATTACGGGAACTGCAGCACCTCTCTCTTAGGAGTTGTGATAGCTTGAGGGAACTCCCCGACTCGGTTTTGAAATTAACGTCGTTAATGAAGCTGGATGTATGGGGCACGAGAATTACAAGGTTACCAGATTCCATTGATAGACTATCAAGCCTGTCATCTATCAATGCATCATTCACATCGATTGAAAAACTGCCCAGTACAATGAGCAAGCTTCTTTGCCTCCAAACACTGCATTTGAATAATTGCAATCAGATACAAGAGCTGCCGGAGCTCCCTAGAAGTTTGACCACTCTACAGTTGACATCTACTTCGTTGGTGACTGTCCCTAACCTCTCATACCTTACTAATCTAGTTGAACTGGCCCTGTCCGATGGCTCTGAATCTGTTGCCAAATCAGATATAATTCAAACTTGCGACTTGCAGTGGATTGGGAGTTTATCCAGACTGAGCAAGCTGCAATTTTGCTTTTCAAATGTCTGCGTTTCGACTATGGAGTTGGGTTCCCTTTCTCAGCTGAAAGAACTTATTCTACATGGACTAGACGTGCCAGCTTTCAAACAACTTCCATCATCAGAGTTGATGGTTCTAGAGCTCTACGACACTCGAGGGAAACAAATACGGCTTCCTCCATCGGAAAAGGAGACTGCAACCGTTGCATCAAGTTCGAGAAAATCGGAAAAAAGCAAGGTGTTACGGCAAATTGAAATTATTTTCACGGAAGGCCATAAATCATCGGATGGGTCAGTTCATCTGCGGAAGGAGCCGGGGTGCAATGAGCTACAAGCTCCCGAGTTGATTGATCATTGGAGGGGAGACTTCCATTTCCCAAGCTCCATAAATACGCTTCGAAAACTCGTTCTGTGGGGGTGCCCAGGGGTAGAAGATATTCAATTTGTTCCTACGCCGTTGTTAATATTGTCTGTTGGAGGGTGCACTTCATTAAAAAGATTAGGCGGTTTGTCAAACTTGAAGTACCTGACGGAGTTGACTCTTAACCGGTGCTGGAACCTGCAGGTTGTCGAGGGCATTGACGAGTTAAAGTTTTTGCATCAGTTGACAATTGATCGGTGCGGATCAGTGGAGAGGATTCTTGATCCATCGAGCTCAAAAATACCAGATAAGTGCTCAATAAGCATAAAACGTAGTGGGAAGTTACCTGACTGTGGTCGAACTCACAACTCTTGGGGGTCTTACAAAAAGATTCTGAATGGAACTGAAATTGAAACGGCGGACTCTGAAACAGAAACAATGCATACAGAAACAGAGGGTTTTTATATAACAGTGCAGGGGAACTTTATATTTAGATTCGATAAATCTGAAACAGAAACAGGGGATGCTCCGTTACACCTCTCTTCTATTGTTACAGTACCGGACATGAACTCTATATTTGAAAGAACGGACTCTGAAACAGAATCAGAATCAGAATCAGAAACAGAAACAGAGGAAAGGGTGCGCCTTCTTTCTATTCATAGATCATCGCTGTTTCTTCTGCTTTACTTGCTTTCTATTTCTGCTTTATTAAAATTCCCGATTTACTGGGAATCTCCATATGCTGTCTGTGTGTCCACTTCGGTGGCGAGGTGAGGGATCTTACATCCCTCACCATCTATAACGAAAGGGCCTTTCTTAAGAGAAATTTTTAAGATACCTCAACTCAACTCACCTTATCGTTTCCTTCTGCAGGCAGAGTCGGTAAAACAAAAAGGACAAAGAAAGTTCGATTATTTTTCGTGAACAATGGATTGAATTGGGATTAGGGTTCTTTTTCACGTTTTCTTCTTCCTCTCTCCCGCTGCTCAAGCAAATCACTGTCGCCCGATCCTCAGTCGCTACTCGCTCCTCGCAAGCTTCAGTCCGTCGTTTGCCATCAGTCGCCATCGTCTCTTCTTTCCCAGGTTCCGTCGTCCGCAAGCTTCAAGTTCGTCGTCCGCAAAGCTTCAAGTCCTTCGCGAGCTTCAAGTTCCATGTCCGTGAGCTTCAAGTCCTTCTCCAGTGCCACTTTTCACTCTGGTGCACATTTTCTTCTTCAGTGCCGCTCAGCTGGAGGAATTTGGTGCATTCATTAACTCCATCGGTGGCGGGAGTCACGGGCCTGAACTCAAGCTCTGGATCACTAGCTAATTGCTAAAGAACAGGTAAGAGTGGTGTGGAGTTGGTGTTTAGTTGAATGTAATGGTGTACTTTATCTTTGCGTGGTTAAGCATGAGCTCGAGCTCTAGCTCCAGCTTCATATGGTAATAGTTGTGTAAGGGTCTGCTTTCTTGCAATTGTTTGACTATTTGAGTGCCTAGTCTAGTTATGTTGCTATGCTTTTGTGGACTGCTCGATTGAGTCTTATCGGGTGCATCTTCTCGTGAAGAGTTTATCTGTAAGTATATTCTAAAGTCTGGATAATGGTCGCTTTAATGAGTATCCATGTCTCTTTATTACCTGTGAGGAGCTCTTGATGATTGAAAATGAAGCAAACAATGCTTCTCTTCTTGGTTCATCATGCAGAATTAAAATGGTATATCCAGTTTTTTTTTCTTTTCATATTTTGGGCAGTTATGGTTTCCATTGGTAATTTGAGGTCTGCTGCATATGGTTGGGGATTCCACAGGTCAATTTTACAACGTGACCGACTAGACAATTGGCTAGACAAAGTACACACGGCTTTGTTATCTATTGAAAGTAGAAACACCAAATCTTGTCGCTTCATGATTACTCCCACGTTCCTGTTCCCCGTTTTGCAAATAGCTTCTTATTTGTATTGAAAGAAGAGAGAAAAATGAGCCACTTTGTAGTAAGGTTCTTGGTCAGGCTCTTGGGCAGCTTAATTTACTTGCTTGGTGCTTCATTGCTTTATGCCTAATTCTCCGCCGAAATTAGCAACTCCTTCCTGCTTTCTCACGTCTAAGACGAGTCCCAAGGAATTTCTTAAAACTGTGGCGACTTGGTTTTATCCTTTGGATGTGTTCATCGGAACAAAACTAGAAGACCACCCTGTATTTAAGCATATACATGACATACAGAAACCAATCAGAAATTAGAAACCAGCGAAAGAGCTCCGGCATAAGGTTATGACATACTAGGCCCTGCATGAGACTCTGCACGAGGAATGCAACCAAAACCACCATCCGAAGTCTTGCAACACACTATATATCCGACAGCCTTCTCCACATCTATCGAATCCAACCATTTTAGCATCGCAAGACAGCATATAGCACAAGAAGAGAACATTCGAAGGGAAAAATGGGTTGAAAGGAATGTCGATTATTTAAGAAACATCCTCAAGAAGCACAAAAATTATTATTTATCAAAAAGGAGGACAAGACACTAAGTATCGACTTCTCCCCATATATCCCCAGAGAAGTTCCGTCTTCGTTTTGCACTGCTCTTATGTCAGGATCACAGTTCAGGCACAACAATGTAGAACATTTGATACCAGAGATTATCCAACAATAGCAACTTCAATCTCCATAGAAAGAGCCCTCCTCATCAATGTTTGGCTAGCAATATACACACTATAACTGTAATCAAAATTCCATAACATGACATAAGATGACCTCTTGCATGCGCAATAGAGCCTAACTTTAATTTTATCGCTCTCATGACGTTGAAAACTTAATAGCATAAAACAACACCAACGAACTTGCATCAATGGTAAGAATTTGCAAATCTAGGTTGCTTTTCTCCAAAGGATACAATCTATCACTTTATTGATTTCGAGAACATCTAACTTGTCAAAATTGGGCAAAATTTACACAACACTGAATGTATACAGCAGATGCGGATCATGTCCAATATTTGCACCAAAGCCGCCTGCACAAGCAGCCCTAAGTGTCATTCGCATTTTGTTCTATAGAGTCAAGTTTTAGATCATAAATACATTAAAGCAACACTAATCACTCCTAAGACGTGGTGGTTATCATTGCAATAGATGAGAAATATTTGATTGAATGTGCAGTGGAGGTTCAGTTAGCAAATAAAGAAGCCAAGAGACAAAACAAATACAAACCAGACTCGTGTTGGCATTGCAGGATTTACGAAGCCACTTCATTTGAATCCACAGTGTCAAGTTTTCCAAGAAGATCTAGAGTGGTCAATCCCCAATATGCTCCATTCAATCTCAAGTGCTCTATAGCCACCGGCTCAAAACTATCCTTCTTCTTAGTGCAAGATCAACCCAGAAACTCAAATCAACTCCGAAATGCTGAACAGTAGCAGATCCAGATAAACCAAGTCATTTTCAGTAACTGGCAGGAAGTGGACAAGAAAATAACAAGAGAATTGTAAAAATTTCATACCTACCTTTTCAACAGACATCATGTACTTGACATGTTCATTGCCAGCGAGCTCGCCCATCTGCCGTAAGACGTTACATATTTATGAACATGGAATTAAATCTTAAGCACGCCACCTAAGAACTCAGCAACTCAAGTGCAAAAAGCATATCATTACAAGGTTTGGTGAGGTCATTAAGGATCACAACAATCCTGTAAATTTAACATAATATTAGGTTCGACTTTGTTTCGACTAATCGCATACGTACTAAACAGAGGGAATGAAGCTCGTCTCTATTTCTAATTGGAGAAGATGTGCCCGTGCGCAAATTGCTTGCATTCCAATCTTAAAAAGTACCTCTCTCCCTAATGGGAGCTTCTCTCTCCCTGCTATGGGAGCTTCCTCTCTCGATTACGATCTGAGAGTTTTTCCTCTTTATCTACTGCCCCTTCAATCCTCCATCGTCTTCAACACCCTATGACTCTGTGCTTCCACTTTTACCCTACGGCATACCATTTAATCACGCCACTATCCTGACGTGGTTTTGGATCCTTCTTCACTGCTGGTTTCAATAGTTGTCACTAGTTGATGCATCTTGAAATCGAGCCTTCTTAGTTGTTGCTTGCCTCAGCCATCTCACTTGCTTGAACCTACAATCCTTTGACAATCGGGGGATCCAACCATGTGCAGACCAAGTGCTCGACAAAATGCTTGATAGAGAGTTAAGCTGGGATTCTTATTGTGACTATAGGAAATAAAAGAGCTAGGCGATGTTAATTGCGGACTTGTGCACGTGCTGACAGAAGATGAAAAATGGGCATTGATGGCTTGCCCTAATTAGCTACCGGTTTACAAATGAATCTTATTTGCTGGAACTACCAGGGTTTAGGCTCACCCCTGACAGTCCAAGCCTTGAGAGCCCTTGTGGCTCAAGAAAAGCCTAAGTTAATAATTGTAATGGAGACAAAAAAAACCGTGAAAAAAGGGTGATGAGGGTAAAGAGAAACCTCAACTTTCAGAATTGTTTTATAGTGAAACCAGAGGACATATCATGGGGATTAGCAGTAATGTGAAAACAAGTAGAAGTGGGAGTAGACTTAGCAGGGAAACATTTCATTAATCTTCGTTTAAAGGAGAAGGGGGATCATAATGCAATGAGAATCACTTTTGTCCATGCACCAAATGATTTCCAGGAAAGGCTTGTGCTATGGAAGGAGCTAAAAGGTATTAAGAGTTGCAATGACCTACTGTGGGTTGTAATGGGAGACTTCAATGAAATCTTGCATCATTGGGAAAAAGTAGGGAGAAGGGCAGCCAAGAATTACCGCCTTGCTGCGTTTCAAGATTTTTTGAATGATTGTTGTTTAATGGATGTAGAAAGTAAGGGATGTGCTTTTACTTGGGTAAATAATAGAGACGGGGGAGATTTGGTTAAAGAAAGACTGGATAGAGTCCTTTGTAGCGTAGAATGGAGAGTAAAATTCCCAGAAGCTGAAGTTTATGCCCCACCGGCCATTGGTTCAGCCCATAGCTCTCTCTTAGTATCCTTATTCCCAACGCAACTAAAAAGAAAGAAAATATTAAATTTGACGCTTATTAGATAGAAGATGAAGAGTGCTATGATGTAGTCAAATCTGTTTGGGAGTCACCAAAATCGGGAAGAGTAGATATGACAGGAAAGCTGAGATGTGCAGCAGTCGAGTTGGAGAGATGGAGCAAGAGAAAATTTATAGACTTATCCCGACTAATAAATTCCTTTAAACTGGAATTTCAACAGTTAACAAATTCGGTTAGTGGAGAACAAAATGGGGGAAGAGTTAAGGAGCTGAAAGTAGAAATTGAAAGCATTTGGCGACGGGAGGAAATGTAATGGGGGATGCGCTCTCGCATAAACTGGCTGAAATGGGGAGACAAAAATACTCGTTACTTTCATGCCACAACCATACAAAGGAGGTAGAGAAATAAATTATAATACTGAAAAATTCTAAGAACCACTGGATTCGAGAGATTGAGTAGCTCAAAAGTATGACTACAGAATATTTTCAGGAGCTGTAGAGTACAATGGTCCCAGAAACTTTCAACCAGTCATAGAACAATGCCAAAGGATTATGTCGGAGGAAATTAACAAAAAAATGATGGCTAATTTGAATATGGAAGAAGAGAGGGACGCGGTTTTCCAGTTGGGTGCAACCAAATCTCCTGGTCCAAATGGACTAAACGGCCAATTTTATCACCATCATTGGGGGATACTAAGTCAGGATATGTTCAAAATGGTGACAGATTTCATTGAAACAGGTACGTTTAATCCTTAGCTGAATAGAACTCATATTGCCCTTATTCCAAAGGTGGTGAATCCAGAAAGTCTTGACCAATTTCGGCCAATTAGCTTGTGCAATTTGGATACAAGATTATTTCAAAGGTCTTGGCAAATTAGCTTAAACATTTTCTTTTTCTTCCAGAACTGATAGCTGAAGAACAAAGTGCTTTTGTTGGTTGGGGGGGGGGGGGGGGTTGGGAAAGACACATTCAAGACAATATCATGGTAGTACAGGAGGTATTGAATCTTAGAATTCGAAATAGAAAGAAGAAGTTTCAAGCAGTGCTCAAATTAGCTATGAGAAAAGCCTACGATAGGGTAGAATGGGATTTCTTGGAAGCATGTTTGAGCAAAATGGGTTTCGATGTCAAATGGGTAGCTCGTATTATGTATTGTGTGATGTCGGCTACCTTGAGCGTAAAATTTAATGGTGAACCACTGAACTTCTTCCAACCTTCAAGAGGATTATGTCAAGGTGACCCACTCTCCCCTTACCTCTTCATTTTAGTAGCTAATGTACTTTCCTGTCTTTTAAAGAATGCGGTGGAGGAAGGAAGTATAATGGGGAATTAAACTAAATAGACATTGCCCAACCCTATCCCATCTTTTATTTGCAGACGACTCAATATTCTTTCCAGATGGAAGGGTTCAAGAATGTCAGAATGTCGCAGGAATTTTAAACCAGTAATGTATTGCTTCGGGACAAGCCGTCAACTTGAATAAATATGGCATCTTTTTTAGCAGAGACTGTCCTATGAGTTTAAGAAGGAATACGGCGACGGAAATGAGAGTCCCGGAATTAGAAAAAACCGGAAAGTACCTAGGGATTCCATCGGATTGGGGCCAAACTAAGAAAAAAATGTTCGCATGAATTTTGGGTAGAGTAAACATGAAAATTGAAGGGTAGAAAGAAAGGATGATCTCAAAAGCTGGAAAAGAAACACTCATTAAAGCAGCGATACAAGCTCTACCACAATATGCCATGTCGATTTTTAAACTGCTTGTCTCCATTTACCGAGCCATCGAACGAAAAGTCGCAAATGTTTGGTGGAAGAATGGTGATTCAAAGACAGGACTTCACTAGAAAAACTGGAATGCTATGAAAAGAAGGAAGGACCAAGGAGGAACGGGGTTTAGAGACTTATTATCCGTTAATAAGGCCATGCTTGGAAAGCAAGCTTGGAGGATAGATCAAAACCCTTCTAGCATTTGGGTACAGGTACTCAAAGGACTATACTTCCCATATAGTAAATTCTAGCACGCTAGAAAGGACAGTCGTGCTTCATGGGGATGGCAGAGCATATTGTGGGGAAGAGAGGCAATTGCTAAGAATGTAAGATGGCGAGTGGGGAGTGGTAGGGATATCAAGATTAGGGAAGATAGATGGCTGAAATCAGGCATAATTGGAGAAGAGGAACTTTGTGGGGAGCCACAAACGGTAAATGAGCTGATTAACACTGAGGAAGCAAAATGGGATGAGCAAAAATTGTTTCAAATGTTTGACAAACATATCGCTGAGGAAATTTTAACTATCCCAATAGAGGACACTAGAGAGAAAGACAAAGTTATGTGGACTCAAACAGAAGCCGGCATTCTTACAGTCAAGAGTGCGTACAATCAAATTTGGGAATCAGAGAACAAGCAGAACACAACCCAGCCATCATCTTCTTACTAGCACCCAAAAGAATTATGGGGTACGATTTGGAACATGCAAACACACGAAAAAATTAAAACTTTCATCTTGACTCTATGCCGTAACGCGATCTCGACTACTGAGAATTTGGGGAAAAGGAAAATTATATCTGAACCTGTGTGTCCTCTCTGTCGGCAAAGCCCAAAAACTATTGAACATATCTTTCTGCTGTGCAATTGGACGAAAGGCATTTGGCGACACCCAGACCTACAAGTGGAAATAACAGAGCAGGGGCTAGACCACTTTGAAATTTGGCTACTTAATCAAGTTAGGAGGACGGGAAACTCACCTTCATCGGAGCGATTGGCGTCTGTGCTTAAGGAGATGTGGAAAGAGCAAGGAACGATTTTGTTTTTAAAACACGAGTTCCTGAGCCGTCGAAGGTAGTGGACTCTGCATTGGCGATTTGCAAAAGTTTTGAGAGATGGAACCCGGAAAACAAGAAATCGAGAAGGAAAGAAGGGTTCTCACCTGAGGAATGGAAGCCTCCAAATAGCAGTGAGTTGAAGGTGAACGTGGATGGCTCCTTTGAGGAAGGTAGATGGGAAGGGAGTATAGCGTGCGTTTGCTGAGATTATATCGACAGGTTGGTGGATGGGTTTGCAAAGAGAGTTTGTGCTTCCCTAGCTCTCCTTGAGGCATGCAAGCATCTGAGGTCGAAGTCTTCTTTGCACTTTGTGTTGGAGTCTGACAACTTGAACCTGATAAGGCAAGTTACAGATCAAGAACAAGCTTCGTGGGAAGACGGGGCTCTTATCAAGGCCAGCAAGTTGGAGATAGCCCATTCCAAAAAGATGAGACTAGTCCATTGTACAAGAGAAGGAAATAAAGTCGCAGACTAGATTGCCAAGGCCCATAGACGTAACTGCCTTTCTAAGGGCTAGCTCACTAATCCTCCTAGTGTTTTATGGAGCCTCATTGTCTCTGAGGCTCGTGTTTTGTGTAATGAAGTAACATCTTGAAGTAATGAAGCTTAGTTATCTTTTTTGACCAAAAAAAAATTGCTTGCATTCCCAAAAACCAAATCAAGCCTAAAACAATATCATAGCGTATATTCAAAGAAAACATGTCATTCAGACAAACAAACAAGGTTCCATCACAAGTGATTCGACTAACACCCATTGGCAATTACGATTGAAGAACAACTACGACATACACTTCTGATACTCGATTTCACCTTCTTATACTACTATCTATCTCGATTACCGCAAGAGATCTCCCTCATTTTCTTGCAATCTGAGCTAGGAACCATACAGCTCAAGTTAAAGACGATCTAATCAGCGAAAAACAGTCACAACATCAAGGAAATTCAATTCAGATTAGCTTAAACGAAAAAAAAAATTAAATTGAAGAACAGAAGTAGCTCGTGATGATAAAAAGTGAAAAAATGCGCAGAAGTTCAGAACACAAAAATGCTCTTCGGCTTCACCAAAGATGATAGTCTTCTGACTCCCCCAAACCACCGGCTTCCTTTCGTTATAGGCTTCTATCTTCTGTGCAACAAAGGCCTTCGATTTTCTCAATGCCGCTGCCACCACCCCTTTGAAAGTTGAAGCCGATTGGGTCGGGCTTGTATTGGAAGAGATTCTTGTCAACACCTGAATTTTTGTCGACCTTTTAAATATCCATTTATTTTGCAAAAATATAAAAAAAATGAAAATGAATGAAATGATCAAAAATTAAAATGAAATCGTATGGGCCGGCGCATCCGGCTCGCTTAGCAATTTTCGGCCCTTTTAAATGATAGACCCAACTTCTCATTTCTATTCTTTCTTTGGGCCCACTTTTCTTCCCTTTCTTTGGGCTCATCAAAACTAAAATGAAAATGAAAAGCCCGGCCCTTCCTCTCCTTTTTTTTCACGCACACGCTGCGCTCTAGAACTGCTAGCTGGCGTATGGAGAAAAAAGGGGGTTCTAGCCGAGAGTAAACAGAGGGAGAGAGCAAGACGGATACTGAGGGCGCGAATGATAACCATTCTGCTCCAGAAATCAAATTCTTGTCAGAAATTGATTTCTTGAATTCTTGCCAGAAATTGACGTTTGGAGGAGAAATCTGTTTGATAAAACATGACTAATTCTGTTCCAGAAATTGATTTTTGGGGGAGAAATCTGTTTTATTTTTTTATTTTTTTGGGCACCTAAAAATATTTAAATTTCACTCAAAGTGGGTGTCCCACAGGTATTCTAAGCCATTATGTGAAGTTTTTAAATTTTTGATTTTTTTTGTACCTAAAAAAATTTAAATTTCACTCAAAGTGGGTGCCCACAGGTATTCTAAGCCATTCTGTGAAGTTTTGAATTTTTTGATTTTTTGATTTTTTTTGGGCACCTCAAAAAATTTAAATTTCATTCAAAGTGAGTGCCCACAGGTATTCTAAGTCATTCTGTGAAGTTTTGAAATTTTTGATTTTTTGATTTTTTTGGGCATCTCAAAAAAATTAAATTTCACTCAAAATGGGTGGCCACATGTATTTTAAGCCATTCTGTGAAGTTTTGAAATTTTTGATTTTTTGATTTTTTTTGGGCACATAAAAAAATTTAAATTTCACTCAAAGTGGGTGTCATAGGTATTCTAAGTGATTCTGTGAAGTTTTGAATTTTTTGAATTTTTTTTGGAAAAAATTCAACAAATTTCCTATTTTCCTGAAATTTGACTTTTTTTTATTTTTTGGAAATTTTTATGAATTTTTTCCGGAATATTTCAATTTTTATGGATTTTCTGGAATCTTTTTGGGCCGTGGTCGCGTCCGACGGTGGCGGAGGTGGTCTGGCAATAGCGGCGGCGGTGGGGTGGCGGCTAGTAGCGAGGGCGAGCGATGAGAAGAATGTGTTGTGAAGGGCACAAAGAAGAGAGAAAAGAAGAAAATCTCATTACGGAAAAGAGAAAGCTAAAAAAATAGCTCTCGAGAATTTTGGGCCAAAATGCATTCGGAATCAAAATGATTTTAGAGCCAAAAGAACGCATTTTTACCAAAGCGTTTTTGTTTCGGAATGCAAAATTGCTCCGGAATGCATTCGAAATTGTTTAACAAATGCATTTCTATTCCGGAACGTATTCTGGAGCAGATATTCTGCTCCAGAATGCATTTCATGCGCACCCTGACCTTCTTCATTCTTCAAGGATAGATTGCGCGAGCTCGGCGGAGCGTGCGCTTACGGTCTCCTGCTCAGCGTGCTCTCCCTCATTGCGATCTGGCACAACGTTCTAGGCGCTTGCATGGGGTTCGTCGTTTTCCTCTTCAACTTCTTCGAGTGCCATCTCTTCGACGACCTCGTGTCTTGCTTCCGATCGTCCCTCCTAAGTTCCCGTTCAACTCCTCTTCCGACGTTTACGTCACCGTCGTCTCCAAGTGCCTCATTCTTCAGAGAACATACTTGGCGACTCCATGGCTTGCGAGTCTTCAGCTTCAGACAGTGTTTCTTAATTTCTTTGGGAGGCCTCCATCTTTCAGCTACAGAAGGGAAAGTTCCATTTCAAAATATGGTACAACTCCCATTGTGGTGGTGGTTCCTGGATTAACAAGTGATTCTTGTTCTGCGGACATCGGCCATCACCTCTTTCCGCGGCCGAGCGAAGGTCTTCGTCCAATAAACTCGCTTCTCAGACGAAAAAGAAGAATACCGGTCTGTCTTCTAAAGCCTCGTCGGCGAACGCACGGCAACGACGACTCTATTCCCGAACCAGGTAGGAGTTCGTCTCTAACGCCCTGTTTTAGCTCTGTTTCGATGAGCCAATCATCTTGAATTTGCTTTTTGTGAGACCGTAGGCACCTTGTACAGAAATATGATCGATCTGTGATTAATAGTGTTGGGTCAGGCCTTTATATGTCAGGATTAAGACTCAAATCACAATGGGTACGAACCTGAAACTTGCTTTCCGAAATGCGCATCACATGTTCGATAGAATGTTTGAGTGAGATACCGAAAGTGACTTAGTGCAACCGGTTGTGCCATATCGTTTTGATCTGCTTTTGGTTTATACTCTCTTCATTGATTGACTGAATCAAAGCTACTGCCGAGTTTCTGTTCATTTTATGTCATTTTCGTGCACTACGGCGCTAGACGTCCATGAATATACGAATCGGAGCAATTTAATGAATTTCCTTGACCCTGTGATGGCCTTGGGTTAGAGTCCCATCAGGTTAGCCCCTTGCTTCTATTCCTCCCCCATGTCTATGTGCAGATTCAAAGATTTTTGGAACGAATTCGGGTGAGTGGGCTTCGGAGGAGGGAGCTTCAATGAAGAAAGTGCAGGAAGTGGTCGCCGGAGATGGTCTGGTGATAGACGGATTAGTGGTTGATGGCGGCGCTTAGATGATCCAATGAGGATAGCTCAGTAGTGTTTTGAGCTTTGGCTGAAAATGGTATTTTCTTCAAGTGGAGGTTGTTGCTTCGGTGAGGGAGACGTCTTCGGGAAGAAGATGAAGCAGGGGCAAAAGACAAAAATAGGAAAAAGACAAAAGAGAGAAAAGACAAAAAAATTGGAAAATCAAATAATATATAAAAATGTTAAAAAAAATCATTTTAATCCGACGCGGGTCGGGTCAACGCTTCGGATCGGGTAAACGGTCCAAACACGTTCCCCGAATATAATAATAATAATAATAAATTATTATAAATTAAAAATTAAAAAAATTAAAAATTCCAGAAGATTCAAAAATATTAAAAAATTTCGAAAATTGGTAAAAAAATTTAGATAATCAGAAAATTCATTAAAAATTTGAGAAAACTTTGAAAATTTATAAAAAAAATTAAAAAATAGAAAATAATAAAATATTTTAAAATCTTAGAAAATCAATAAAAATTAGAAAAATCTGAGAAAAGTCATGAAAATTTGGAAATTCCGAAAATCACTAAAAAATCCAGAAAATTAAAAAAATTTAAAATTTAAAATTTAATAAAAAAATATATTAAAAAATTCAGAAAAATCATAAAATATTCAAAAAAATTCAGAAAAATTTCTAAAAAATTAAAACCCAAAATTGGACAAGCCTTTAGGGTTTGACATTATGTTTCTTTGTTTTGAATTGTCTTTTTTTATAGACCATTTTAAGATGTTTGTAGGTTTTCTTTGTGATTATACTTGGTTGCGCTTTTAAATACCTTGGATGTTATTTTTGTTTAAGAATGGTTAGGACGAAAGATAGAATTCTTCCAAAGGTTGCCATGGCGTTAGTTAGTATGTGGTCAAATTAGATACCGAAAGGGTGTTAATCTTAAGGCAAACGTAATCAAGTCCCCGAATCTAGAATATTTGATTGCGTGAATAGTAAGATATCCTCTTGTATCTTACTGAGTTTCTAGTCGACTTCAAAAAGGCTAGTGGCCACTTCTTTGTTAAAATTTGCATAGACTTAATCGATTAAAATTTTGAACATCTGATGTTGCGCGAGGTATGGGCTTGGGAGACAAGTCAATAGATGGCTATCGGCCCAAAATTGACAATACCCCTAAACCTATTCTCTCTCTTGCGGGAGGTTAGGTCGTGACAATTCTAACCTCTATTCTCACTCCAGAGTTCAAAATCGAACCCTACCCACAGATTGTACGCGGGGGTGCCATCACTCTGGCGACGGACCAATATAGCATAGTGCAAACACGACG